TCTCTCTCTCTCTCTCTTATAAGTCTTACATTGTTGTACAGTTTCGCTCTTTTCTCAGTTTTTCTTTGAAAAAAATTGGGTCATTCAAGCTCTGTGATTTAAAAAAGAAATGTTCCAACTATTGCAAATCTAATTTCTTTTGGTTTTAGATTTGTTTTTGTCCTGATTGTCTGAAGAGGATTTGTTGGAATGATTGTTATTCCTTGTTTTTCAGATCTGCTTTAGACTGAAAATAGTCCACGAAGAAGAGAACCGGTCCTGACTCCAACTGGTCCTCCATGGACCAGTGAAGTATCCCCCATCCTGCCAGTTAAAAGCAATGGTTTTGGGAGCTGGAGGCTGTAGAACCGTCAGCCGAGTGTGCGTGGGGCCCCTCCTCTCCTTGTTTCCCAGCACCCCTCCTGAAATGGGATGCCAGCCCCCTGCCTCCCTGCCCTGAGCTCTCCTGGGGTGCCATGAACAGCTACAGAGACAGAGGGGTGACTTGCACATCCTCGGACCTCCTGGATGGAGGAGGAGGAGGGTTGCTACAGCAAACTCCGTTTCGTCACACCCCCAACGGCCACCCGGCTCCTGGCCTCACAGACTCGGCCATCAAACCACGCATGGGTGTTCGGGCACGGATTGCAGAATGGCCCCCTCGCCGTGCGCAGTCTAGAGAGTCGCTGCTTGAAAATGGGCAAATGGGCAGCAGTCGCCACATAGATGACGGCTCCGCCTCAATTTCAGTTTTGTCGTCTGACATGGGGTTAGTGCGAGGAGGCGTGGCCAGGTTGCCACGACGTCGGTCCAAGGATGTGGAGTTCAGAGGAGGAGGGTTTGGCGGTGAGAGAGGTTCACCTTTTAGCCTCAGAGTGTTCCCTCCGTTGAGACAGCGCTCAAACAGCGAGGTGACACTGAGCGAACAGGACGAAAATGAGGTGAGTCTTACGTTGCCTTTTAGTTCTGTAGCGTTTCCTGTTTACACTGAACGTTAAACCCGTGAAGCATTAATATTAAATTGTTTTGCAACCACTGATATGTCATCACAAACTGAAGAGTCTCCCTCCTTTCTGCTCCAAGGTGGAGGTTCGTGGAAGTGGCGGGATGGGGAACCTGTTCAGAGAATATGGCAGCACCTCCTCCATCGACATCCAGGGCATTCCTGAGCAGAGCTTCTTCGACATGCTCAGTCAGTTCCACCAGGAGAGGCCTGACCAGCGCAGCTCAGCACCCATACGCCTCGGGGAGTTGCTGCGCGCTCCAGACTCGAGCGCACCCCTCCCCTCCGCTCCTTCACCTGGTCCCGCAGGGGGCGACGACCGAGGGACAGGAAGGAAGGACGGAGCTGAGAGGGTGAGGAAGAAAAGCGGAGGGACGGAGTCATCACTGGGCACCTCCTCTTTGTTCAGGAAACTAAGGAGCTCAAGTCGCGGCGAGCTCGATGGAGGGAAAGGAGAGACAAGTGAGGATGGGGGAGGGAGGGGTTCAGGGGACGCCTCCTACAAACCGTGGGTGTGCCCCAAGAGCTTTGTCCACTACGATGCTCAGAGCATCCTGTTTGACCTCCACGAGGCGGCGGCTCAGCGGGGCTATGCCGCCCAGAGGAGGAACACCGCCACAGGGGCATCAGCTGCTTCAGTGTCCCTGTCCGTCTCCAGATCCACGGCTCCGAGCGTGAACGACCCAGTTTACTCCAGCATAGAGGATCTGACCTTGAGCCTCGACCCTGGCTCCTCCACACCCTCCCTGGGCGTGGACCCCCTGGATGGGCCTCCTGGCGCCCACAACGCGAGCCCACTGCTCCTTTGCTGCCCCCACTTCCTCAATGAGACCGGGGGCCACGGGGAGCGCAACATTAGCTTCCTCAGCTCGTCAGCGGAGCGGGGAGGAGACAGAGGAGACGCAGCGAGGGGTTGGCTGAGGAGGAGTAACGCCAGCGTCTCCGTGCTAGAGGTGCCTATCGAAGAGCAGGTTACGAGACTGGACCGACTGAAACTGTACAGCATAGAGCATGTAGACCTCGGGGCCAGGTACTACAGAGAGTGCTTCCATGGGAAAGGTAATACACATTCACGATGAGCCAGATAATCTTACACCGTAATTATTCATTGATGTCGAGCTGTGTTACTGTAAGTCACAGGAACCAAATATATAGAGAGGACATTGATAATACATGGTTATTCTTTTATTAACGAGTAACTGTTGTTTAGAGATGCTTTAACATGTTTTATTCTAGTTGGAGTGAATGAAAATAAAAGCAGCATTCATTCTCATGAACACAATGGGAGCAGGTTGCCTAGCACAGCGGTTCAAAAACAAGACAATTAAAATGGCTTTACATAAGACGTAAGGCATTAAAACTAGATATAAGTAGAATTAAGTAATGAATGAGCCATCTGGACACTAAAGATTCAGTTAGACATTCAGATACTTTCACCTACTTTCCTTTTTACTTTCCCTCTAACTTTTTCATACATTATATTCGTGCTGAAACATTTGGTCAGCCCATTTAGGCCGGTCATAACTCAGATTATTCAATAATGTAAATAATTGCTAGTGGCTATCTCATAGTCTGATTTGGGGCCCGTCGCTGTTGATGCCGATCGTCCAGCCAGAGTTTCTCCAGTGTCATTCCCCTCATCTCATCCTGCGGCTGTTAATATCCAGCTGGGCCTGAGCGGAGCAGAGTGGGCCAAGCTGGCAATACTCCCAGAGTTTTTATTACACATGTACCTGCCACTGGACTGTTGGCAAACTCTGAGCTGATGATACACCACCTGCCTTTCTACACAATCACAAGTACCTCTTACCACAGTCGGCCCGCGCAGCTTTGTTTTTCATCTCCTGTTCGGTGTCAGAAGTAACACCTAACTTCAGAGAGGCATGGTGTGTGATGTGCGCCTGTCCGCAGCTATATGGGCATTCCTTGTCAACATCACCTCTTCAGACACTGTGGATGAAACTTCCCCTGGGCTAGCATCATCTGGCTGCACCGTAATTAGTGACAGATGCTGTTAGGAGCACATGTGTGCAACCAAGCGTGTGTGTGTGTGTGT